AAGTGTAGTATTGTCTTACTATTGTACACAAACACACACTAGAACGCCATCCTTGGTTGCTAAGGTGCTAGGAGGTTGATTTCAGTGTTCTTAGGTTAGTTTGAACTCAGAAAACGTGCTGGAGCTTCCTTCTTGAAGAGGTTTTACAAGGGTGAGTTCCTTGCTTTGGATACCCCTTTCTTCCTTAAGCTTTTAGCCCTTCTTGCTTATTGTTTTAAGCTTAACTTATAACTGATAAAAGTTCTGATCTTTCTTGCTTTAGAACTTTGTTTATGGTCATTTTGAAGTTTGGGGTTGTTTCCCCCGTCTTAGGTCTTGTTAGGCGTTGTTTTAGGCCATCCCTTTTGGCCATTGTTCTTGACTTTGTATGACCTCTCAGTGGTGGAGAGGTGGTTTTGAGATCCAAAATAGGAGAGGGTCATCCCCTCTCCTTATTGTCTTGAATGTTAGCATAAATGGCTTGTGTTGTAGCAAGTGTGCTTAACTTGTTTTAGCTTCATTTTAGCAAGTATTTGGTGTTATTTTGCCATGATTTACCTCTGTCTAAAGTTGGTTTGGACCTACCATGCATTCTTTGTATACTTGTCTTGTAATCTCACGATTTGCCCTAACATGTACCTAGCATTTAGACTACTATGCTTGTATGTTTTGGCCCACCTCCATGAAGCTTTTAGCCATGTTGTGACATGCTTAAGCTCTTATTTTGGTCTTCTTGGTCATGCTTGCATTGTTTTGTATAGCTACCATGTAATCTAGCTTGTTAGCTTCGGGTGCTCAAATCATTAGTATACTCTATTTCGACCATTTCAGTGATTTGACATCACTTGTTATGTTATTTCATTCCACATAGTATGCTCATATGCTCGCACTTGTGACTTCTTTAAATGCTTTAAAGAGTTGGTATGTTATGCCTCATGAATGTGTCATCATGTATGCCACCATGCTTAGGCATTTGGGATGCCATCTAAGTGGGTTTTTGGGCTCATTTTGGCATGCCATATCTCTGTTCCCATTGACTTAAAACATGCCATGTTTGGTTGTCTTAGGTGTAATGTAACAACTCTTCAGTAGTCTTGCATGTCTCATGTTTTTGCCCCTTTGTTTTAGCTTGTTTTGGCTTTGGTCATTGCATGTTTTAGGCTTACTTTGCCATGCTTTAGGACTGTTTTGGGTTATGCTTGCCGTATGCTCTTTGTTTTGTGTAGCTTTGGTTCAAGTCCCTTCACTAGTCTTAGGCTTTAAGCCTTGTGCATGCTATGATTATGATTTGTTTATGTGATTTGGCATCACTCCTAGCCTCATTTCAGAACATGCAATGTTGTTACATTTGCACGCTTTTCATTCCTTTTAAGTATTCTCAAAAGTTGCCCTTTGATGCTTAAGTGTTAGGCCAATTACTATACATGTTTGTATGTGATTTTGTCCCTTATCCCTTAGCATATTGGCCGTTGATTTGGGCTTATTTGAGAGCTGTACATATTGGTTTAAGTCCATCCTTTGCATGTTGTTGCATGTTTGCCTTGCATGTTGTTACATACTTGGCCTATTGCATGTTGTTGCATGCTTAAGTTGCATTGCATTTGGCATGCCCCCCCCCCCTTTTGTTAAGTTGCTTTGTGTTTTGCATGCATTGTCCCTTGCATGTTGTTGCCTGCTTGCCTCATATGTTGTTACATGCCTGCCTATCTTTAAATGTTGTCACATGCCTTCCATATTTGCATGCTTATTTAGGTTGCATTGCATTTGGCATGCTTGTTACCTTTAACCTTGCATGGCACGATCATTGACATGCTCATATTGTACTAGTTTTGTTTGCATGTTTACATCCCTTGCCTCTTAATAAACCATGATAGAGGTTGGGATCCTTTATATGTTTTGTGTGCATTTCATTTGACATTAAAATGCACACTTGGCTCCTTTGGCCATCATGCATTAAAATGCGTGATTGGTAGCTCGAAAGTCGAGAACCATACTCATTTGAGTCTTAAACATGATAAGGAGGGTGGTGGTACAAACATTGCCTTGAAAATGCATTTCCATGCTCTGTATGTCCTCTGTTACAGCAAAAACAAGATTCTGCAGGAAGAGATGGTCGGTCGGCCATCTTCAAAGCCAGCCGTCTATGAATTGTTGGCCGAGATCCCCACAAATGGTCGATGACCAGTTCCTCTTGGCCGGTGGCCTTGACTTTCGGCCGGTGACAACCCACAGTGCTCAGAAGGTGATTCAGGAGCATCCTTGAGACTTGCACAATTTTCAGAGGTGCAAAGCAGTGCAAAAAGAGGCAGCATAAGCATGGCGATAGATTTCTGAGCGAAGCCGAGCATGCATGCATTCATCCCTCTTCCCGAGGCTACTTTACTGCTTTCATAGCTTAATTAATTTATTTAATTAGTTAAGTGTTGTGTAATAATTAACTAGCTAGGATAGTTAGTTAATTAGTAGGTTTGTATTATTCTTTCGGTCCCTCCGTCGAGAGGGCGCAATTATGTAATAAGCGTGCGTGTGTGTGATGCATGTCTTCCAACCTCCACTTCTTTCTCCCTTTTACTTAACCGCTTATGATAGTTAGTTCTAGGGCACGTTTCAATTAGCGTCCTTATGCTATGCATGTTTGCATCATTCATATGTATTGCATGCACCGGGCTCGGCGCATCATACTAACTGCATTGTATTTCAATTCTAAGTTGAATACGTGTATCGAATCGTCGCATTTCCCATGCCATTTTAGACTAGCCGAGCCTATTCTATTTGCATTTTGTATGTGATGCATTAGCCATCTTAACATGGACTTCGATCAAACATTGATTACTAACATGTTCTTTGTTTTGGCTCGGAGTACACTGTGAGTGTTTGTGCTTTAGCATCTTGCATGTATGTGAGTGTTAACATGAAAGCATGCTTGCCATGAGGCTATTTGCTTCTGTGATATAACTGCCTACATGCCTGTGGGTGAAGGTTGGATTGTTTGAATTGGGACAATTCATTGAAATCCGCATTTTAGCCTACTTGCGAGTAGCAAACTTCAAACCATTTCCAAATAAACGGATATGCAATGCTTTGTTCCAAATTAGGCGATCTAGTCTATACTTGTGTGTTGTGTGCATCACTTAGTAAATTCTATCTAATTAACCGGAATAAGAACACATATGTTTTCAAAAACTATATATCATGCTTAGTACAGGCCGATCTTTGATCGGGCGAGCGGGGGTGCTCATAGATGACCTTCCCCAATCGTACCCAAGTTCCCGAGCCGAGGCAACTTTGGTGATGACAGACACGTGGCCTTTGGCACGAGTCAGGGTTTCCTAAATCCCCTCCAAAATAAAATATTTAGGTGGCGACTCTGTATTCTGCATAAGCAAGCCAGTGGCACTCTTTCTAAAACAGTTCCAAAACATGTCGATTGGGACCTTGTGATTCTACAATCTCACATCGCACATTGTAGATCAGATAAGAATAACAAACACAATGAAATCTACTGAGACCAAGACTCGGGTGCATCTACAGTTTCTGGTGACTCTGCTGGGGATATGAAACTTTGACCGAATCCATACATCTTGTTTTGATTACACTTACTTCTTGCATGCATTACATATGTGCGCCTCAGACACTGCGTTGCCGATGCCCTATCCTAACGCTTGCCAGAGCCTTTGAGAAAGCTCCATAGGAAACTAACCGTTGCAGCGTCTCGCCGACAGAACACACACACCGATTTTTACTCGGTACCCTTTTGACCATTCGACCTAGTCATATCGGAAACTCGTACTGGAAACCATTTTCCAAGCTAACGGAATGCTTACCCAAAAGTGTAAAGTTCTGAAATCGGCTGTGTGCGACGTAAACCTAGTGTAGACAAGCCGTGGCTCCGTGCTACAGTCGACTGATTTGGTCCACGTTTCTAAATCTAACACAAAGATCAAAATCCGCAAATCGTGTGAGAAAACAATTTGAAAGAATCCAAACAATGACTGCTTGGCTAGATACACACGTGCAACCCTAAAATCATATTTTGGAAAAAATAGGAAACTCACTGGAAAAAATCGTTGCCTAAAAAGGACAGTCGTCGTCATACAAACCAAAATGCTTCGGCTCGGGAAACTTGTACAGGGAAGTTCACTTCGTGAACCACCCCGCGCACCGGTCAGAGACCCGGCTCTACTACCCTGAATCATTGAAAAACATTGATGTTCTATCCGTATTAGCCTAGGTACAATGTGCTTCGCACAGCATACAAGTAAACTGAGTCGCCTGAAGAACAAAACATTAGTTGTTTTTGAAATGGTTGTGGTGCACCCGCAGAGCTTAAAAGCGATTTCACCCCGGGGGGCTTAGAAAAGATGGTTGCCAACACTAGTGGCAAAACAAAACCAGAGTTAATCCAATCCAAATACCCAAACTCACCCACAGCATCAGCATTAAATCACATTACAAATAGCCCTCATGAAGCAGCATATGAGTCCACCACACGCATGCAAGGATCAAACATAAACTACCGATCTCCCAAGCCAAAAAAGAAACTTCATTAAAAGCATGCATGATCCTAAAGTATACAGAAATCCTAAGCAACACAGCAAAATGCAACTAAGCAGCTCGCTAATTCTACAAATGGCATTGAATTACAGCTTAACATGTATCATTTGGGAAATTAAAAACATGCATTGGTAATGCCGAGCCCGGGCATGCAAAACAGATGAAGAATGCAAACAATCACAACGTATGTCTAACTGAAATATCCTAAATCTAACCATCATAACGGATAAATACAGGGGAAGACGTGGGTGGAAGACATACAACACACACCGCACACTTAACAGATTATGCCTCGGCGCAAGGGTCAAATATAACAGTCCCGAAAAAAATATACAGTCCAAATATCTACAGTCAAATAAAGACAAAATTCCTAATAAATAACAATAACAAGAAGCGAAAACGGCGTGCAAGCCCAAGGAACTGCTTGCTCGATGAAAATCCATCGCCGGGTTGCCTTGCGCGAAACCATGGACCCCAATAGCCCCGGTTTGCACCTATCTGAAATGCTGCCAAGTCAGAAGACCGATTCCGATGCTGCAACAGAGACAAGAAGGCATAGCAATGAACTACAAATGTATGCAGCCTCAATCCCGGCCACCAACAGCATACGAGCAATGGCCGAGGAGCGATTGGAAACCATATTTAATAGGGAAATGCAACATGAAAAACACAACGAACCTAACCCATCATGGATGATCCGGAGTTCGGTGACTGAAGAGAATACATTCGTCACGGAGTACAAATGCACTCGTTTCCCGGTCCGGGCTAACCCTATCCCGAACAATGCAAATCATACTGCAAAATGCGACTAAGACATCCCTAACAACACAAGCTATAAAATAGATGTCCAATCGTGCACACGGCAAGCCAACCGAGAAAATGACAAATCCGATCTAAAAAACCTAGTATGCAATAATGCCTGTAAAATGAGAGCCTCAAAATGCCGTGCACACGTCACGCAAACCGAGAAAATGACATATCCAAGCAAATGACAGAGAAAAATGGTTACACTAACATAAAAAGAGCCCCAGCAGCTCACATAAGACGCCGAGGATGAAAAATAAAGTGCCTCCCCCGAAAATTGCCCCCCTGCACAATGGGGGCACGCAAACCCGAGCAATGCAACGCAGCAATAGTAAAATGGCATATAAAATGCAACAATGACTACCAATAGAGAGAAGGCCCACTCGCACCAACATAAGAGGCCGATGATAAAAGAAGTGGCCCGAAACGCAGCACAACGTAACGCAAATCGAGCAAAGGCAAATGAATGCAATATGGCAAAATGTCATATAGAATCACATGACTAAATAACATGAAGAGCCTCACGACACTCAATAAGAGGCCAATGAGAAAATGAAGTGCCCCGAACGCCGTGCACACCGCACGCAAATCGAGGCAATGCATATCAATGCAATATCTAAAAGGCATATAAATGCAACAGACTACAACTAAACAGAAGAGCACTCACGCTACACTCACTAAGAGCCAAGA